CTCAAGTAACCTGCTTGCCTTGGCCTCCAAAGTGCTGGGATTACAGACATGAGCCACCGTGGGACAGTTGTATTATACTCAACAAGAGGGAGTCCTGAGCATATACTAGAAGCAAAAACTAAGCTAAGGTTTGCACAGGGGTTGATTTTCTGCCCACCTATACTTACTCAAAAGCAAAGACATAGCCAGGCATAATGGCTCACATCTGTAATCCCAGTGGTTTGGGAAGCCACAGCAGGAGGATGGCCTGAGGCCAGGAGTTCAAGACCAATCTGGGCAACATAGTGAGATATCATCTCTATTTTTAAAAAGCAGGCCAGGCACGGTTGCTCACACCTGTAATCCCAGCACTCTGGGAGGCCAAGGCAGGTCGATCACTTGAGGTCAGACGTTCAAAACCAACCTGGCCAACATGGTGAAACCCCGTCTCTACTAAAAAAAAAAATACAAAAATTAGCCTGGCGTGGTGGCTCACACCTGTAGTCCCAGCTACTCAGGGGGCTGAGACATGAAAATCACTTGAATCCGGGAGGCAGAGGTTGCAGTGCACTGAGATCACCCCCACTGCACTCCAAAAAAAAGAAAAGCAAATGCAAATACAATTGTCCCTCAGCATCTGTGGGGGATTGGTTCCACAAACCACTCATAGATACCAAAGTCCATGATGCTCAAGTACTTTACATAAAATGGCACAGTATTTGCATACAATCTTTACACATCCTCTCATATACTTTAAATCATCTCTTAATTACTTATAATACCTAGTACAATGTAAATGCTATGTAAATAATTGGTTTTTTTTTTTTTTTTGAGACGGAGTCTCGCTCTGTCGCCCAGGCTGGAGTGCGGTGGCCGGATCTCTGCTCACTGCAAGCTCCGCCTCCCGGGTTCACACCATTCTCCTGCCTCAGCCTCCCGAGTAGCTGAGACTACAGGCGCCCGCCACCTCGCCCGGCTAGTTTTTTGTATTTTTTAGTAGAGACGGGGTTTCACTGTGTTAGCCAGGATGGTCTCGATCTCCTGACCTCGTGATCCGCCCGTCTCGGCCTCCCAAAGTGCTGGGATTACAGGCTTGAGCCACCGCGCCCGGCCTGTAAATAATTGTTATACTGCATTGTTTAGGAAATAATGACAAGAAAGAAAACTCTATATGTCTTCAGTACAGACACAACCATCCTTTTTTTTAATTCCAAATATTTTCAATCCACAGTTGGTCGAATCTGCAGATGTGTAAAACACATACATAGAGGGCCAAATGTATGAATTACAGACTATAAAGATCCATGAAAGTCATTTTTTTTTTCAGGTTGGCAAACAGGCTCCCCACTGTCTAGCATATGCTCATTGAATGAATAATGGTTATAAGTTTCAGAAGGGTTCCAACACAATAATGGCTAACAGAGTGAAACATAAAACATAATTATAAGTATTTGAAGGTATATCCTAATCTTTTACAAATGAAAACACTGGGGCTCAAAAAACGATATTCCAAATTCTGGCATTTTAGCATGCGGAGCATTTTGAGCTAAAGGAAATTAAGAGGCCCCAGAAGCCCTCAGAACCAAGGACTTTCTGATGTTCTTCTCCTGCTTCTCCTCACAAGCTCAAGGTGGAACTCTCTAAAGTTCCCTTTCCTGAAGCTCTTCTACAAGGAACACAATTGCCTCCCTCTCCCCTCTCTGAAATTTCTTCAACCAGAGAAGATTAATCTCAAATTGCAGGAAGGAAAACTGAGAAATGACATTACACCTAGACAGACTTTGTCACAGGCTATCATCTCTGCGCAGGTCCCATTTCCAAGAGAATCACTTAGAAACGATTTTCTGCTCTTCGGGCCCCTTCAACTTTCTTGAGAATGACTTACTAACTCTCAAAATTGACTACATTCCTCCTTCCCCTTCTCCCCTGTGAAGACAGCACTATGTAAGCTTCAGCCATCTGGCCCTTCTTTTTTTTTTTTTTTTGAGACGGAGTCTCGCTCTGTAGCCCAGGCTGGAGTGCAGTGGCCCGATCTCAGCTCACTGCAAGCTCCGCCTCCCAGGTTCACGCCATTCTCCGGCCTCAGCCTCCCGAGTAGCTGGGACTACAGGCGCCGCCACCTCGCCCGGCTAGTTTTTTGTATTTCTTAGTAGAGACGGGGTTTCACCGTGTTAGCCAGGATGGTCTCGATCTCCTGACCTCGTGATCCACCCGTCTCGGCCTCCCAAAGTGCTGGGATTACAGGCTTGAGCCACCACGCCCGGCCATCTGGCCCTTCTTTGAGTCTCATTTTATGTGGCTCTCGTGCATGTGTATATGCTTTTTCTTCCTGTTAATCTACTGTCAATTTATTTCAGAGGGAGAAGGGAAAATTCCCTTCACCTCCACAAAAACTGAACCTAAACTACAAAACTACTCACATGTCATATCTTTAGCAATCACATTTGAAAAGTGATGAAGTATAGCTCTTAGACCATGGGCTTTGAATTTGAATTCAGACATAACTAGGTTAAAATTCTAGTTCACTCTTACACAAGGCGCACGCCCCCGCCCGACTTCCTGCTCAAACACCCACGCTACAGTCTACACTTCCACGATGCACTCCCATCCACCCCCTATAAAACCCCTGACCATAATGAGAGCTCAATCAATGAAACATAAGAAGCTTATTTTCCCAGATTGTCTTTTTTTTTTTTTTTTTTTTTTTTTTTTCCTGAGACAAGGTTCACTTTGTCACCCAGGCTGGAGTGCAGTGGCATAATCATGCGCTCACTGCAGCTTCAACTCCCAGACTCAGGCAATCTCCTGCTCATCCTCCCAAGGAGCGCTGGAACCGCAGGTGCATGCCACTACACCTCTGGCTAATTTTCAAAATTTTTCGTAGAGACAAGGTCTCACTACATGTTTTTGTTTGTTTGTTTTTTTGTTGTTCTATTTTGTTTTGAGACAGAGTCTCACTCTGTCGTCCAGGCCTGGAGTGCAGTGGGTGCAATCTTGGCTCACTGTAACCACCGCCTCCCGGGTTCAAGCAATTCTCCTGCCTCAGCCTCCTGAGTAGCTGGGGAGTACAGACATGCGCCATCATGCCCGACTAATTTTTTTTGTATTTTTAGTAGAGATGACGGTTCACATGTTAGTCAGGCTGGTCTCAAACTCCTGAACTCAAATGATCTGCCTGCCTTGGCCTCCCAAAGTACTGGGATTACAGGTATGAGCCACCGTGCCCACCCAGTCTCACTATGTTGCCCAGGTTAGTCTCGAACTGCTGGCCTCAAGTGATCTTCCTGCCTCAGCCTCCCAAAGTGCTGGGATTACAAGCGTGAGCCTCTACACCAGGCCCTAATTCATGAAGTAGCAGTACTACAACAATATACAAATGGCCAAAGAAAATTCCATCAAAAAATTTATGCCGGGCGCGGTGACTCACACCCATAATCCCAGCACTCTGGGAGGCCGAGGCAGGCAGATCACAAGGTCAGGAGATGGAGACCATCCTGGCTAACACAGTGAAACCCCATCTCTACTAAAAATACAAAAAATTAGCCGGGCATGGTGGCAGGCGCGTGTAGTCCCAGCTACTCAGGAGGCTGAGGCAGGAAAATGGCGCGAACCCTGGAGGCAGAGCTTGCAGTGAGCCAAGATCGCACCACTGCACTCCAGCCTGGGCGACAGAGCAAGATTCCGTCTCAAAAAAAAAAATATTCAAGCCTCTCAAAATACAATCTAGGCATAAAGAGGAATAAAGACTAAAGACCTTAAGCACTCAAAGATAAACAGAAATTAACTTTAAACTATTAAAAGTAATACCTCTAATTATAACCAAAACAAGTGAGCAGTTAAAGCAACCTGAGTACCACGAAAGGAATGTGTTCAATCCAGTCAACACCCCTAATCACACAGGCTCAACCCTCTTGTTAAACGTATAGCTTCCTCTTTGTCTTCAATTCTGTCAACAAACAGCATAATGAAGCAAAATGTAGTCTCTATTAATAAGAAAAATTTACATTTACAAAACCCTTTTGTTTTATTACAACCTAGAAATATTCCTCTCAGTAAGAAAAAAAAAACTACCAAATTTTAAGTACTTTCTCCATGCCTTTGGAACAATACCAAAATTACAAAGAACATTGCAAGACCTTGAAACATGTCAACTACACTTCCCAAAAGGCAAGAGAAAAAGAACACTTCTAATTTCGTGACATACCAGCATGATTCTTCTACCTCTGCAAAGTAAAGCCAAGTTAAAAAAAAAAATCCCACATCTTAGATACTTAATAATACGATAATTATAAAAACAGAATTGGCCAGGCACAGTGGCTCATGCCTGTAACGCCCACACTTTAGGAGGCCAAGTAGGAGGATTACTTGAGCCCAGGAGTTCAAGACCAGCCTGGGCAACACAGTAGGCCCCTGTGTCCATTTAAAAGTATTAAAAATTAGCTGGGCGTGGTAGCACGTGCCTGTAGTCCCAACTACTCCAGAGACTGAGGCGGGAGGATCACTAGAGGACAGAGTGAGTTACAATCATGCCACTGCCCTCGAGCCTGGGTGACAGAGACCCTGTCTCAAAAAAAAGAAGAACAGAATGGAAGACCAAACTTCATCAGAAGTGACTTATCAAAAAATAAACATTTTTTTAACTTAAAAAATGTTGGCCAGGCGCAGTGGCTCATGCCTGTAATCCCAGCACTTTGGGAGGCAGGGGCGAGCGGATGACAAAGTCAGGAGATCGAGATCATCCTGGCTAACAAGGTGAAACCCCATCTCTACTAAAAATACAAAAAATTAGCCAGGCATGGTGGTGGGTGCCTGTAATCCCAGCTACATGGGAGGCTGAGGCAGGAGAACGGTGCGAACCCGGGAGGCAGAGCTTGCAGTGAGCCGAGATCGCGCCACGGCACTCCAGCCTGGGCAACAGAATGAGACTCTGTCTCCCAAAAAAAAAAGTATCTACAGATTTCACATAAGCTAACATGCTGGGAAGTATAATGTTTTAGGTATTCAACCACATGTGTACTTACAGGGACACTCCAGACCTGCATTCCATCACTGTAGCCAATCATAATCAGCAAAGGCGGTTCATTCCCAGTGCTATGTATTTCATGAAATTCCAGATTTCTTGATGTATCTGCAATACAATTAAGTAACAAAGAAGCTAACTTAAAAGACATAATGTCAGTCAAGAAAACAACGGTATTTCTTTAATGCCTGATTCAATCTTTACACCTCTCCAGTAACTATCCTCTCTTCTCTTAATAGACAGAATTCTCAAAGTTGTCCATCCTGGCTATCTATTTCCTTATATATCTGTCATTCATTGGCCCATTTCAACATAGCTTCTAGCCACACCATTTAAATAATATCAAACATTTAAGGGAAAAAAAAAAAGACAGGGCTGGGTATGGTAGCTTACACCTATAATCCCAGTATTTTGAGAGGCCAAAGTAGAAGGATAACCTGAGACCAGGAGTTCAAGATTAGCCTAGGCAACACAGCAAGATCCTGTCTCTATTTAAAAAAAAAAAAAAAAAAATAGTCCAGGCCTGGTGGCTCACACCTGTAATCCCAACACTTTGGGAGTCTGAGGCGGGTGGATCACGAGATCAGGAGTTCGAGACCAGCCTGGCCAACATGGTGAAACCTCGTCTCCACTAAAAAATACAAAAATTAGCCGGGTGTGGTGCCACGCCTGTAATCCCAGCTACTGGGGAGGCTGAGGCACAAGAATCACTTGAACCCAGAAGGCGGCGGTTGCAGTGAGCCGAGATCACGCCACTGCACTCCAGCCTAGGCAACAGAGCAAGACTCCATCTCAAAAATAATGATATTATTATTATTATTAGCTGGGCTTGGTGGCACATACTTATAGTCCTAGATACTCTGGAGACTGAAGTGGAAGGAGCCTTTAAACAAAATAATTCAAGACTGCGGTGAGCTATGATGGCACCACTGCATTCTAGCTTGGGTGACAGAGCGAGGCCCTGGCTCTAAAAATAATAATAACATCAATTCTACACAAACTTTTTTCTTTTGAGACAGAATCTCACTCTTTCATGCAAGCTGGAGTAGAGTAGAGCCATCAAAGCTCACTGCAGCCTTGACCTTCTATGCTCAGGTGATCCTCCCACCTCAGCCTCCCAAGCAGCTGGGACTACAGGCATATGCCATAATGCCCAGCTAATTTTTTGTATTTTTTGTGGAGACAGGGTTTCGTCATGTTGCCCAGGCTGGTCTCAAACTCCTGAGTTCAAGCAGTCCACCTGCCTCAGCTTCCCGAAGTGCTAGGATTACAGGTATGAGCTATCACGTCCGACCTTATACGCTTTTCTAAAAAACAAAAGAGAAGGCAATAAGTACCAACTCATTCTGAGGTAATCAAAACTAGACTAAGAAATTACAAGAAAACTATAAATTAATCCTCCTCAGGAATGTACATATAAAAATACTTTACAAAGAAAAAAAAATACAAAGACTAGCAAATTGGAGTTCACAATATAGAAAGGATAATCAACCACTAAAATACAGGGTTTATCCCACAAATGTAAGATGGTTTAACATTGGAAAAATCAATTATAACTTGCCAACATTAACAGAATAAAGGCAAAAAATCATATGATCATTTCAACATATGTTTAAAAAGCATTTGCTAAAATGCAATAGCTATTTTATTTTTAAAACTCAGCAAATCAAGAATAAAGGATGTCTATGAAAATACTGTAGCTAATTATGGTAAAAGACTGAATGCTTCCTCCCTATGAAGCAGAAGAAGGCAAAAATGCCCAAACTTAAAACTTATATTCGACACTGTACTACAGGCCCTAGACACTGCAATTAGGAAAGAAAAATAAACGACATAAAAATTGAAAGGAGAAAAGTACAGTTGACCCTTGAACAATGTGGAGGGTAGGGGTGCTGAGTCCCCTGTCCCCCAATGAAGTCAAAATCCACATATAGACTGAGTAATCCCAGCACTTTGGGAGGTCAAGGTGGGCATACCACTTGAGCCCAGGAGTTTGAGACCAGCCTGGGCAACATGGCAAAACCCTGTCTCTACAAAAAATACCAAAATTGGTCAGGCGCAGTGACTCACACCTGTAATCTCAGTACTTTGGGAGGCTGAGGCAGGCGGATCACCTGAGGTCGGGCATTCGAGACCGGCCTAACCAACACGGAGAAATCCTGTCTCTACTGAAAATACAAAATTAGCTGGGTGTGGTGGTGCATGCCTGTAATCCCAGCTACTTGGGAGGCTGCAGCAGAATTGCTTGAACCTGGGAGGCAGAGGGTGCAGTGAGCCGAGATCAAGCCATTGCACTCAAGCAACAAGAGCAAAATTCTGTCTCAAAAATAATAATAATAATAATAATACAAAAATTAACTGGGCTTGGTGAAAAGCACCTGTAGTCCCAGTTGCTGGGGAGACTGAAATGGAAAGATAGCTTGAGCCCAGGAGGTCAAGGATGCTGTCAGTTGTGATCACACCACTGCACTCCACTCCAGCCTGGGTGACAAAGTGAGACCCTATCTCCACCAAAAAAAAAAAAAATGTATAGTATGAGTTTTGGCGGTTGTTTTGTTTTGTTTTTGACAGAGTCTCGCTCTGTTGTCCAGGCTGGAGTACAGTGGCACAATCTCAGCTCACTGCAGTCTCCACCACACCTGGTTTAATTTTTGTATATTTAGTAGAGATGGGGTTTTGCCATGTTGCCCAGGCTGGTCTTGCGTGCCTGCCCTCAAGAGATCCGTCTGCCTCGGCCTCCCAAACTGCTGGGAGGGAATACAGGCATGAGCCACCATTTACAACTTTTGACTCACCCAAAAACTTAACTGCTAATAGCTTACTGCTGGCCAGAAGGCTTACTGTTAAAATAAACAGTCAGTTAACACATATTTTGTATGTTATATGTTTTATATACTATATTCTTAGAATACACAGAAGAGAAAATATATTTACTATCCATTAATGGAAGTGGATCATCAAAAAAGTCTTCATCCTGCTGGGCACGGTAGCTCAGGCCTGTAATCCCAGCACTTCGGGAGGCTGAGGCGGGTGGATCACCTGAGGTCAGGAGTTCTAGACCAGCCTGGCCAACATGGTGAAACCCCATCTCCACTAAAAATACAAAAAATTAGCCGGGAGTGGTGGTGGGCACCTGTAATCCCAGCTACTGGGGAGGCTGAGGCAGAAGAATTGCTTAAACCCGGGAGGTGGAGGTTGCAGTGAGCCAAGATCACACCACCGCACTCCAGCCTGGGCAACAACAGTGAAATTCTGTCTCCAAAACAAAAAAAGTTCTCATCCTTGTCTTCACAGTGAGTAGGCTAAGGAAGAGGAAGAATAGGAGGGGTTGGTCATCTCCCTCAGGGTTAACAGAGACAGAGGAAGTGGAGGAGAGTAGAAGGGGAGGCAATAGAGGCAGGCATGCTCAGTATAACTTTATGGAAATACACTGTACTTTCTCTCTGACATTTTTGCAAATTTCTCTAAAAATGTTTGTATACAGTACCAATCCTTCTTCCACCATTTGCTTTCATTTCAGTGCCAGTATTATAGAAAGATCTATGTTTAAAAGAAGTCAAAAGCAGTCTTAAACAATTGGAAGCTTTCTGGCAGACTGTCTAACATCAATCTTCTGGCACTGTTTCTTCTATATCTTCTTCCTCATCATCTGGCACTGGTTTGGAAGCACTGAGCTCCATCAATCTGTCTTCTCTTAACTTCTCTGCTGTGGTATCTATTAATTCTTGAATTTCTCCAAAATCGGTATCTTGAAATGCTTCACTTCTCATCTTTTTGGCCATATCTACAACTTCTTTATTTATTTATTTATTTTTTTGAGACAAGTCTCACTCTGTTGCCCAAGCTGGAATGCAGTGGCATGATCTCGGCTCACTGAAACTCTGCCTCCCAGGCTCAAGCGATTCTCATGCCTCAGCCTCCCAAGTAGCTGGGATTACAGGCATCACCACTTCTGGATAATTTTTGTATTTTTAGTAGAGACAGGGTTTCGCCATGTTGGCCAGGCTGCTCTCGAACTCCTGACCTAAGGTGATCTGCCAGCCTGGGTCTCCCAAAGTGCTGGGATTACAGGGATGAGCCACCATGCCCAGCCCTCTTTCATGACTTTCTTGATGGTACCTATCATAAATCCTGTAAGTCATGCAAAACATCTGGACAGTTTTCCCCAGCATGAATTGATTGTTTCAAGCTTGCTGACTTTCATGATTATTTCTGTAACACTGACGGCACCTTCAAGGGTGTGATCCTTCCAGACTTTCCTGGTTTCTATCAGCGTTCTCTTTCACAGAGTTGACAATCCTTTCCATAGAGTACCATGTGTGGTGAGCCTTAAAAGGTCTGTGTGACCCTTTGATCTAGAGGCCTGTGTCAAGATAGAGACACTGTGTCTCTGGAGGCAAGTAGGCCACTTCCATACCTTTGGTGTTGAACTCATGAGATTTCACGTGGCCACGGGCACTGTGGGTTTTTTTGTTTTTTGTTTTTTGTTTTTTTTTTTGGCTCAATCACAGCTAACTGTAACCTCTGCCTCCCGGGTTCAAGTGATTCTCCTGCCTCAGCCTCCTGAGTAGCCAGGATTATAGGCATGCACCACCATGCCTGGCTAATTTTTGTACTAGTAGAGATGGGGCATCACCATGTCGGCCAGGCTGGTCTTGGAACTCCTGACCTCAAGTGATCCACCCGTCTCGGCCCCCCAAAGTGCTGGGATTACAGGCATGAAGCACTGCACCCAGCTTCAAAAAAAACTTTAAAAGGCAGTCTCTTACTGGTCAGGTACTTCCTGACTTTGGGAACAAGCATCAATGCAGCCAATCCAGAAAAAGGGTTCCCACTATCTAGTCTTCTTGTTATACAAGGAAAAGACTAGCAGTTGTTGTTTATCTTTTCCCTCCAAGGCTAGGGGATGAGCAGCATTATAGATAAGGAGAGTCCTGATTATAAACTTGACTGCATTTGCACAAAACAATAGAGGTAGTCTATCCCTTCCTAGCCTTAATTCCAGGTGCACACTTCTCTTCCTTACTAATAAATGTCTTCTGTGGCTTTTTTTTCCCAGAATAGGGCACTTCTGTCAGCATTAAAAACTCGTTCAGGCAGATAACCTT